TTCTCCATGTCGTCAGACGCTTTGGCCTGGGGGGGTTTTAGACGCTGGGTCGCATAAGGTCAGTCGGCCTTGGATTTATGCGGCTGCGTTCTCCCTTGGGCGTGTGAGCGCTGCGACCAATAGATTTCGTTCCGAGTTCCATGGGTGTGCTTGCTTGGGTTTTCATTTTGCAACATTCTCAATTTTTGGTGCAATTTCTTCCGGTGGTGTAAGGGCTACTAACTTTGCATTTGTATTGTATCTGAATTGTATCTGTATCTGTAGTGTATTCTGTATTGTAGTTAGATTGTAGGTACCTGTATTGTATTTCCATTGTATTGTGTATTGTACGGTATAACGTTCTATCCCTCATTAACAAATCCTAGCCCTCTCCTTTCCTAGCGAGATCTGCTCCAGACCTTCCCGTGGTTCTTGCTGAGCATCAACTATCGAGGACAGAAAATTCAAATTCAAAACCAGCAAAGTTTCACACAAAAATCTTGAAAATCGCTCGTTGGTGGCCAACGTGGAGCAAAAGAGACTTTTGTATGTAACTCAATTAACCTTGTTAACTTTGTATTCTTAAGGAAACAAAAATATATTACATTTAATTCATTATTTATAAGGACAAATAGTCATTTGCCACACCGATGCTCATTTTTAGATTAAATGCTCACAAAACGCGTAGATGTTCAATTTGTGTCCGGGGAGATACAATGTTTGCAAGTAGGTACTTCGTACTTCGAATATGAGTATCTACTCAGTTTTATTCATACCACCCAATGTCTCGTTTCAATGTTTGACTATTATGTTGATTATGAGCACAACGCTAATCAACTTCCGTATCCGAATTACCCATGAAATAAATCATTGCGATTTGCACCTGAGGTAGTTCGTCGCACATTTGATTGACTTCGTGGACGTATGTCAGCTTGTCGTCTTCTTGGCATAAAACGACACAGAATTATTTTCACCGTCAATCAAATCTGTAAATTTTGTCTTGAGAATTTTAAAATATTGAAAATTTCAAATTAAATCCTCGAATAACGGTAAAGTTTGAGGTTTGTCGAAACCAACAAAGTGAATATACGTAAATAGAATGGCAGATCAAAATTAATAAGAAACTTTCGCAATGCGTAACTAAATTCACTTTAACGAACACTTTTCTTAAAATAAACGACGTTTCTTGTTACGAAAAAACAAACAACGACTTGAAATGCAATAATACTTTTCACAATCGCACGGAAAAAATAGTTTTGTATGATACGTCAGGTCCGTCAGAAACGCCAACTATTCAAATTCATTCGAAGTGGCGATTCCCATGCAAAATTTTTATTATTTTTTTTTAATCTTTTAGCCGTCTTATTTTTTATAAATATTCTTACATATAAACCTTCTCCTGACGATAAGGAACACGTAAAAAAAAGAATCGTCCAATTCGGTGCGGCCGTTCTGAAGTTATGGGCGTACATACATTTCGGCGATTCATTTTTATTAATATAGATATGTAACTTTTTCTGTATACATACAAGCGTTTTTGTAGATATTTTTCCATTTATAACATACAAATATTGAAATAGCATTTTATTGAATTCGCCTTCGCCTCATGAGTGGACTATGTCCACGAACTTTTTCTCATTGAAGCTACACGTTATCTGTTTAAAAGAATATAATATGTCATAAAAATCTTTGCCTCTGTTTACATTAATTATTACGTATATACAGTAGTGGCCACATAAAACAGAAGAATTCATTTGCAATTGTGTGTTGTTCCACGCAATATTTTTTCCGCTACTTAATAAATATGTTTTAATTTTTTCTGGTGGGGAAATACCAAAACTGTCAAAATATAAAATATTTCTTAAATATGGTTTGTTTACATAACATACCCAGTGTGAGCCGTAACAATTAGAGGGTTGAAAATTAATTATGTCTGATTCATCTTTTCTAATTTTTTTTGGTAATATGTCAATTGCAAAAACACCTCGAAAATTTCGCGTAGCTTCATGATTTTTCTCATTTTTCATAATATCAGATATTTCTATATTACTTAACCCCCTTTTCCTATCAATTTTATTCCTTGTCCATATGTCTCCGACTTGTTCGGCTTCTTCGTTTTTTTTTTTTATTCTTTTTTAAACCATCTCCGAAGGCTTTGCTAATTTAGTACCTCCATATCCGGCTGCACCTAATCCCAATGCTTTGGCTACAACTATTGCTGCAGAAATTAAAGCAGGCAAAAATCCACCTATTTGTGTTGGAGAAAATTTGATATCACAGTATTTCTTCTTGTTTTTTTTACATTCTTTAATTTCATCAATCTGTTTTTGTATTAATTTAATAGTTTTATTAGCTCTTTCTGTTAAATCAAATCTTATATTACAATCTATTCTTTTATCTTTGCAACTTTGGAGTTTCTTTATTTAATTAGGTGATAAATATACTTTATAATCAGTCATTTATTTAATTAAAAACTCAGCGAAGTGTGCAGAGCACCAGACAAAGACGCTTCGTGAGGCAGGGGCGAACTCTCTACTTCATTTCCAAATAAATCTTTTCATCTATGATATCCATATTTGCAATTTTTTGAGATTCAACTACAGCATATATATAGTAATTAATATTTTGATAATCTTTTAATGTCCAATTAACTTCTAGTTCAGAAGATTTTGTTTTAGTAAACAAATTTTCATCATTTTCTTTTGTTACATCAAAAGCAACAACTAAATATCGGTTACAAAAATCTTTATAGCTAACACACGTACCTTCATCCAAATCTTTTTTATAATTACATGAAAGGAATGCGGCATACAAACGTTGTAAATCCTCATTATTCACCAGACATTCATAAGTAGGATGTTGGGTACCATTGATTTTAATATTTATTCTTTCTAAATTCATATTATCAAAAATCATCATTGTTTTGGTAAAATTATCATTTCCTTCACCTCTAGAAAAAACTATAAAAACTCTAGATATTTTATTTTGATTATTTACAACGCGCCAGTTTCCACTTCCAGAAGACCACAAATTACTACGGTAACAGTAAGCACATTCCATCCACAAAGAAAGTTCGATTCGCTAACTAATAATGAAGATAACATTTTTTCAGTTTCTAGTGAGGGTTTTGCTATGGGGATCCACAAACTAATATCAGATATTTCATAATTATAATTTCCATCAACTTTAGCATGTAATATATTTTTCACTCTATTTTTACGTAATTCAATGCGAACTTTTCCATTCAAAACTTCGTTACAGTCTCGTACAACTCGGAAAATTTTAGAAAAAAGGAATAAATTTTGTCATAGTTTTTTCATCTTTTGTTAATAACCATCTCTCTAAATATCCTTTATTGAATGCAGAATTATTTGTGATTTTTTAAATAATAGTTTTTATATCAACGTCTAAATCTTTAAATTTTTCAGATTTATTTTGCGCATCATATTTATATTGAGATGTATCTGCTGAATCTGCTGTGTCTGGATACCAACATAATTGTGATGCTGAAGTGTCAGACACATCTCCTGAAAATTCAATCAGATTTGAAATTAACGTAGCAACACCCACATAATTTGTTTCTTCTATTAATACCTCTTCATAGAATAACCTCACATAGTCAAAATCATTTATTCCATTGTTTGATATAGTTACATAATTATTTGGATCGTTTTTAATTTTAGATTTGACAAAAATATAAGCACCTGATAAATGTTTCCATCCGCTTATGTTAGTCTCGAGCGTATACTGTTCAAGTTCTTTCACATTGACATTAGTTTCTCTTATTTCATTGTAAGTACAACTTTTTGTTGATTCATCATTTACAGGCATTTCATCAATACACCATAAATTGTCTACAACGTTTTCCATTTATTTAAATAAAAAGAAGGCTGATGGAATCAGCCCAGAGCCAAAGGCGAAGTCTTTTAGGTAACCTCAGCCTTCAACAGATTTTTAATGATATCCTTTGATTTTTTAGTCAATCGATTCGGTTTGCTCATGAGGACCTTTTTTATTTCATCACCTCGTAAATGTTCATTCAACGATTTTGCTTTCATTTTGTTTAGAATGGGATTTATAATTTCCTCTTTATATGTAGAAAACGGGGGTGATTTTACGTATGTAGACGCTATATTTTTAAGCCCTGAAGTTACACCTTGAATGATATCCTCTTTATTATTTTTCCAAAAAGGTTTTAGTATATTGCGATATAAGAAGCCTAAGCTGGTATAGCAAATTTTTTTATAGATTGAAAAATATTTCCACCTCTAATATGTCTGTGATATTTAAGACCAAACCCACATTGTTTCGGAAATAATTGTTTTCTATGAACGATAAGTACCATTTATTCTACAAGAAAGAATCAGGTAAGGCGTCCCCAAAGGGGACTACGGCTTCGCGGGCCTGCCCGGAGTTCACCAAAGGGTGCGGAACACAAGTCAAAGACGGGTCACGAGGGGATTTAAAGATGCCGGAGTCGAAGACAATTACTGAATATCTAGAACAAAATTTAAGCACTCTCCAAAGAGCAGGTTTTACTCAAGCCATCCATTCGTTTCTCGGACTGTGAAATAGATGGGCGACTCTCTCACTCAAAACGTATATTGAATTTCTGCGCCATCTATATTTACCGCCACAAACCTCAGTGACCCAAATTAACAACATGTGTTAGAGATCTGTAATTATGTACCGGGAGGTGTTGACCGGGATATTTAAATCTTTTATTTTGTCTTTTTTACTTTGTTTGAATTGTTTAAAATATATAAACACAAAAAAAAAATGTGGAAACAAAATATATTGAAGTAAATTAACAGTAACAAATAAATAAAAATCACATATGAACAATTAAATATGAACTATAATATGTATATGAATTGAAATAATAATATAAAATAAAATACGTAAATAAAGTAAAATTAATATAATATGTACTACTGTTTTCGTCTTTTTAAATATTTCTGATAAGCCAAAGCGACTACAGGATCTTGAGTAACATATCGTAAATCCTTACCAGACAATTTTTTATTCACATTTCTAAGATACGAATATAAAAGCACGTTTACGCAAATGTCAATAAATTTGATGGCATTTTCCCTATGTTCTGAGCAAAAAAGTGTGGGAATATTACTATTGTTAGCCAATAATGTTTGGAGTTTTCTTTTGATTCCATAACATAAAATATAGTTTGGAATAAACTGCAACAATGTAATGGTAACTTCCTTAAAAATCCTGGAAAATTTACTAGACGGATGAATTAAGTGACATCCTTCGTAAGTCCTCTCAGAAATTAGCAGGTTTTCCAACATAGTATCTGAACTGCACATTATCTGTTTACAAAACTTGCACGGGTGTTTGCCCAGAATTTTTTTACCTACATATCCAGCTACATAGTTTGATGCAAAGTTCATTGCAGTTTCTGTTGCAGAAATTTCAGATTGTGGAAAATTTAAGTTATCAATGTAAGGTTCTACAGCGTGCACTTGCATAGGATTTACTAGGAATAGTTTTAAATTATTTAGAGGACCGGTTGATTCATCAGTTTCGCAGTTAGCTCCTACGGAATATGATGATACAAAATTATTGACCAATAATGATTTACAGGAAGATATAAAAGAAGAACAAGTAGGATTTGTATTCCGCACTCCATGACTCCTACTACAAGAAAAAAAATTCTCCACAGGGTCTTGATTGAAACAGCGACCAGCGTATTGTTTGAAATTTTCTGCAAATAATTTAGGTGTTAAATAAATCAATCCACGAATTGAAAACACCCAATTTTTCAAACACGGAGGTCTAATTGGAGAATTGGAATGCGGTGCTGTAAAAAACATAGATGAGAGGATGGGTAGAGCAGAATTCCAAAAAGAAATATGGTTAGAATTTTGTGTCACCATACACCGCAGCTCTTTTCCAGGTGACGGATGTCTTAAAGTACCATTGACACTGTCAAAAAGTTTATCAAAAAAAAGCAACAAATCAGCTGTATTTGTTGATGTGGGATCTATATAAAACTTTGATTCTGTTGAAAGTTCTGTGCTTACACGGGCTGCAGCATGCATGGCAGTACCGACTGTATGACTGAATACCTGAGTACAATTTTTCACCTTCATTTTCTTAATTTTTGCTGGTATTACGTGTTCGTCTGTTAATTTACAAAATTGGCTGTAATAATTACCGTGACTTTTATCCAGTTCATATAGTCGAACTACATGAGACCAAGACGCTACTTTTGCAATACCTTGTTGTTCAAAATGTAGATCTTTGTATAACAACAAATTCCTAACACATTTTATTAGATGAGGAAAATCGTACAAGTGCACAATTTCCTCGCCATCTATCAAATAACCTTGTAATCTATTCTCTCTACCTTGTACGTTCAAATCTCTTCTGGTATTTGCTAATAATTGATTAATTGCCGCTCTCTTAGTACTACCTTGATCTGATATAGTTGCCACTATGCTCAAACCGCAACTTCTTAACTGACGAATAACGTCAGTTAGAATTTTGCATAAATCACTGGTTGACGTTGTTCCCTGACAGAAAGTGAAACATACCACTTGTTTCCATTTTTTATGAATGCCTTTAACGATAAAAGTCAACGCATGATCGGCAAACTCCAGTCGTCGGTTTGGTCCTCCATGGTCTACAAAACCTTCAACAGAATCTGTTTTTGAATTGTATGTCAAACCAAGGGACAAAGCGATTTCATCAAACATTAAAACGCAATATTTCTCAATAGTTTTTAATTTTGATACCCGTTTTTTCAAATGTTCGAAAAGAGGTTCATTAATACCTGCGCGGAATGGGATCCTATTTAACATGGTACTAAGTACTTTTCTTGACGGTAAACTAAAAATGTTTGATAAAAATTTATAACTTTTTCCACTTTGTTTCATTATTGCTAAAGCCAAAATTTTATCGTCGATAGTAAATCGCCGTCCCCTAGATTTGAATTTTTGGGTTCTCAATTGAGACATAACGAAGTTTGCTGTAATTTCATTCACATCTTTTAAATACCCAAGTAATCCTGCATTGCTTTGTAAATAATTCACCTTGCTCCTGATCGAACTTTGTTTATGACGCAACTTAGATGCCACTTGCTGCAAGTACTTTGCTTTTTTGTAGAAAAACTTAGCTTGAGGCACTAGGTCTTCTTGACGGGTGACTCCACCAGAACGGAGTAATCCTTTATTCCTCTTAAAAGTCTTTGGATCTAGATGGAGATATGAAGACAAATTAGTAAAGCAAATGGTTAATAATAATTAATAATAATAATCACAAAAATATACATTAACAAAATTATTTCCAGCAATTATTACCAAAGTTCCCTTGTTAAAGATTTATTTAAAAAATTAAAAGTAAACTTACGTGTAAGACGTTGCAGGTGTTCATGTTCTGATGATGAAGTGACCACATGTGATGTACTTGGGAGAGATACACTCGTTTCTTCTTGAACACAGGGATCTGTTAACAAATAATTGCAACTGATGAAATGATAATAAAAAAAAAAGAATGATTGTACTTCTAGACATCTCAGGCAAAAATATACATTGACAAAAATATTTCCAGCAATTATTACCAAAGTAATTCCCTTTTTAAAGATTTATTTAAAAAATTAAAAACAAACTTACATGTAAGACGTTGCAGGTGTTCATGTTCTGATGATGAAGTGACCACATGTGATGTACTTGGGAGAGATACACTCGTTTGTTCTTGAACACAGGGATCTGTTAACAAATAATTGCAACTGATGAAATGGTAATAAAAAAAAAGAATGATTGTACCTCTAGACATCTCAGGCAAAAATAGAGACCTTTTTGCACTCATTTTCACCTTGCCACCATACACTTTCTGAGGAATCTTTACACTCCAGGTTTGTGGTGAATGTGTTGATGTTGAAGGGATCATTTGAAGAGACTCTACAACATGATAAAACTAACCATTCGGAATTACTTAACATTTAAATTATTAAACCTCTTAATTTTTCGGGGGTGATGTATTTATACTCCTGTGCATCACGATAAAAACAATTTTCCTCACTTGAGGGTTCATGAAATGCTAAAAATAATTATATTTCATTTAGCTGGTAACAAAAATAGATAACAACTTACCAGGCAAGTTTAATGTGGGAAGACTATATCTTAATAGCCGCCTGTTGTCTTTACATACATGCGAAAAATGATTTTCACATACGACGTAATTTTTATGTAAAGATTTCATTCCCCAATAGATTTTTGGATTTCCAACGCGATGGATCCATATATCCGCAACTTCCTTTTGTCTTGGAATAAAGAATCTAAAAAAAAGATGCACATTTTATTACTTCATTCTATTATCATGTAACATTTACATCAATGTAATAAATTTTAATGTGCGTAATAAATTTTACCTGCGACTAGTTTTATCTTCACAACCAGGTACGCAACAACGTCTCATCTTCGTGCACCGTTGTTATACCAAAAAAACAAGAAGTTTTATCGGAAAGAGTGTAAAAACAAACCGTAAAATACTCCAAATAAAAATAACCGAAGCGACAAAAAAGTTGTTGATTCAAGCAATTCTTTTAAAACAACAAACATTTTCTGGGAATTTCTACAGGGGTGCCAACCAATAGTTGGTAACAATTGTTGAAAACTCCTACTGTGCTGTCCTCTATGATTGCCGCCCAGAACTAAATGTGATTCCACCAATTTTGTATAGAGTGCCCTACCCCTGGTGAAGTCATAGAGTTCTGAGGGACGGGACGTTAACATTTTCGAGGGGAGAGGTGAATCTTAGTCACAGCGTACACAGAAAGATTCAACTTAGTTCGGGTACCGTCGTCGAACTCCGTGTCCTAAGTGAAGAGGGAAGGAAAGCCGGCATGCTGCACAGACCACACACTTTAGACAAGAAAGTCTTATGGAGAGAGCGCAAACAAAATTTCAGTGGTTTGCGTCTCTACTAAATGTTACTCCTGCGCCCGATATAGGGCGCTGTTGCTAATTAAAATTGCACAGTGAGCAATACGCATGTCGATTTTGGTTGATGAATCATTTTAAACAAGCCAATTTGGAGAAAGTTCTACTGAACGGTATTTTGTCTTTTCGTCTTGTGATTTCGTTTTGTGATTTCCCAAAGAGGAACAGCTGCTGAAAAAATGGATTGAAAATGTCAACGCGCCTCTTTTTAGTTCCATGGAATCAAGCGAAATCTATAAAAAATATGTGTGTGATAGACATTTTTCTACCGATTTCAATGTTCCTGGAACAAGACGGGGACTTCGTAGAGATGCTTTTCCGAATATTTGTTTATCAGCAGGTATGTACAAACAATTACAATTGTATTACAAAGTGTCATCAGTAATAAGTAATGAGCGAGCATAAAATTCGGGTCACCCGTAATTTTTTTCCGATATAACATACTCTACGAACTGATTGCTTTAAAAAAATGTTGTTGTTTCGATAAGCGTTTGACAAAAAAGGAGTCCTCCAGCCAAATTCTTAAAAACCATTATCAGCATTGTTTTTTTTGGTGTTATCTGTCAATTGCAAATTCATCTGCAAAAAGTGAAAAATGTAAACATAAGCGAGTGGACAGTTCAGATTTAAATCCCATTCAACATGTTTGTGATGAGATAGGGAAACGTTTACGCAGACATGTGCCGGCCCCCAGAAATTCTAGAGAGCTTCGCAACATAGTGGTGCAGAAATGGAACAATCTTCCGCTGAATATAATCCAAAATCTTATCCAAAGCATGCCTCGTCGTTTGCAATTTCTTTTGTTTCATCGAAAAGCATATCAGCGTAAAATTGTTCATTTTCATTACTTTGCATATCAAAGTAAATTTGTTCATTCCCATTACTTTCAATAGACTTTGAACAACAACTTTTTGTATTGCAGTTGTCCTACAAGGGAAAGAGAAAGATGACGTCCATTTAACGTCAATGGTTGAAGAAGCAGCCTCAATAACTAGTGATTTTATTCAATCACCAGTAATCCCAAGTGAGTAACCATGAATTACAATTTTATTAAATCTAGAAATACCTACTCATTATCTCATTATTTATAACATCATTTCATTGTTACAGATGTAGAAGATGAAACTTGTTTCATTCAGCAACAGCTAAGAAACCAGAAACTTAAACCCAAAAGTCGCAGATTTACGTTAAAAGAGAAATTATTGTCTCTAACACTTTTTAAGGCCAGTGCGAAAGCATACCGCTTATTATCCAAGATTTTTTGTTTGCCGTCACCTGGGACATTAATTAATTTATTAAATAAAATTCCACTCCGCCCTGGCTTGAATAAACGCCTAATGGACAGTTTCAAGCAGTCAGTGGCAAAATTAAAAGAAAACGATGAACAAGATGAAGGTGTCATTGATGGCGCAAGTGTTTAGTTTTAAAGTGGGATCCTTGATGAAACGCATTTCACAATGGGGTAAGTAATATTGTATTTACCAGAAAATCTTAATACTAATAATTTTTCTTTTCTTTTTTTTTTCTAGGTCTTCAGTATGACAACAGTTTACCTGCTGAAGCAGTGCAAACTGCAGATTTCATCTTGTTTATGGATATGTTATTTGACAGCCTCAATGGTAATGCAAAACAAGCGCCAGTAAGTAAACCATTTAAAGGAGGGGTTTCGACTGATTCTGGACATAAAAAGTGGTGGGAAGAATCTGTGAAAGTAATTAAATCAATGCGTTTTTGGAATAGTAAAAAGGGCATATATGTAAAAGTCCCATCGACCAAAAATTTAGTTAAAACAATTGAAGGTTTCTTGTATTTACGAACAAGATTGTTGACGCGAGTAAAGTACTTTTTGCCACGTGCTTTGAATCAAGAACACAGATTTGTGATCTTGAAATGTTATATTATGTTGATATAGTTCAAAAGA